TCAGATGCTACAGGTGGTGATTTCAATTCCTCCACGTGTCATTTTCTCCCCGGCCTTCCCAACACCTCCCAGGATCGCCCAGCGCCTCACCAGATCTATTCAATTCTAATCCAATTAAAAAACGGCCAAATTAAGAAATTGAGGGGCTGAATTTCTTAAATTTAAGAAATTGAGCGTCTCAATTTCTTCATTTGGTTTTTGTTTGAAATGCGTCATGCTTATACATTTTCCCGAATTAAGAAATTCATATTCAGAAAAAGGGTACCCTCAGAATGAACTAGAATATTTTTGATTAAAAAAAAATAGTAGGCCTCATAATTAAGAAATCGAGGGTACCCTCACCTGAGCGTAGCTATTTCTAAAGCAGCGCTGTCACTGTAATGTATTCCATAGTCTGCTAACCAGTAAGTCAAGGGGGCCTGTCCATTCTTCTTATAGACCGGCTTCCCGTGGTTGTCGCTTTGGAGGTTGAATTCACCCCTGACCTGGAGCCAGTTCAGGGAGTGTGCCATGCAGGTGCGAGGCTCCGTAGCTGGTCTGGCATGCGCCTTCTCTATGCGGTCACTCTCACGCAACAACATGCCTATCCTGGAATTCAAGCTGCTGGTGAGGGCGCCGCAATACCACCGACAGTGTCGTGCTTGCAGCCCGAGACTATTAATCTCTCTGGCCTACATCCGGCATGAGCGAAAATGTTGCTCCCGAACACTTGCATCAATCAACAGTTCACGGCCTGCCCGAGGAAGTGGACGGGGTGTACCCAGCCTGCGGCCAAAGTTCCGTGCAGCGGCTCAGAAGTTATTCTGCCCAGTGATGGTCTACAAGAAAACATTGTGCACTGGCTCCATGTCTTCCAAAATGGTTTCTGTGCTAATTGAAACAGCACATAATTTCCAGCCACGCCCATGAGACAGCCCTTGGTCCCAGAGCTGAGAAGCTGTGTGGACACCGTAACTCTTGCCGAAAGCACATTGAAGAGCCATTTGAACCAGGCTTACACAGATGCTCGCAGATACTAGCAGATGTAGCTCTGCTCTGTCCATGGCGATGGTAGCTTTATGTGAACAAATCGGCACGAGCATGTTGTGAACAAACACTTGAACAAATCAAAATCTGCACGCAAACCAATGAAACCGGTTGTTCAATCCAAGCATTGTCCAGCAGCTGGCGCCTGGCTTGCAGGCACACCACCATAACCATACCCGGGGTAGCTTGCCTCCGCATGCTAGGTGCAAATATTGCCGTCCCTACGAAACTTGGATGAGATTCTGAGATGGCAGCCGCCGGAGGCGGCGTCTGCGCCGTTGCAGGAGCATACCCAGCCTTCAGCTGAAGGAACGAGACCGCTGCGAAAACAACTGAAACCTGCCCGGGCATCCTCCCAGACAAGGCCCTGGCAGGGTAGGCAGGCCTGGCTCAAGGCTTCAGAACAAGGCACGCTCCAAACGACACAAAAGCTGTTCATGCTTCGTGTCAAACATGTCATAGCTGCTGTCCATACGCGACGGGATATCCTGCTGGCGGGTAGCCTTAGCAACACATCCAGCACCTTGCTGCCGAGTGTTCCCCGAGATTGTCCTGTGCCCTACAGCAAAATATCCAGGCACACCGCCAGCTGGATAAGTCGGTGGATACCCGTACCTAACACAAAGACAACTGCCGTGCCGACAGCTGACTTGTTTGCAAGATCTTCAATTGCTTTTGCTTTTGGGTCACATGCCGAGCCAGCCCGGCTCACCGCGAAAAATTGCCCGCTCGCTGCGGGCCGAAACAGCTGCAACAAGCGTGACGCTTAGAGAACCTTGTGTGGTGAATGCCTTTTTAAGTGTGTTTTTCATCTGATCCTTTCCTGCTCTGATCCTGGATGCTTTCAATGAATCATACGCAATCACATAGTGCAACGCATAGGACAGCACGGGCACCTTCCAAATGCCTGGACTGCCAACAGATCCTCGAGAAGGCTCCCGGCTTTCCAGCCCTAGCGTGTCCTTCCCAGGCAGACGCCAACCAGCCGTAACTAGCCCTACGGCTGAGCAGATTGCACAACAAAATCATACCGCATTGCAGGTACCTCCGCAATGGCAACTGGCGCAACAGCCCTTGGCGTCAGAGGTCCTCAGCTGTTTTCTGGATTGTGAGCGCATGCGCTTTTTAAGCGCATATGGTCTTGAGGCACTTTGTCGAGGCCTTGCCTCAGCATCACTGAGCGCCACGCGATCGCCAGAAATGGCACCTGGAGAGATACGGAAGCGGCGAAGCGGAGTCGCTTCTAAGATCTGGCGCCAATAAGGTTGAGGCCGGCTTCGCAGGCATCCCCCCGCTGCCTGGCATGTGACCGTGTGATACACGCTGCATGAAGCACACGGCTCTAGCTTGGGCCATGGAACATTAGGCAGCCTTGCTTACAAGGAAGTATTAATGAAGAGAAGTTTGTTGGGAGAAGCATTGGAACTGAACCAATTGCCTTGGCGCTGAGCCGCCATCCATCTCGCCCGCTGCGGGCACTATGGGTGTCGTTCGCCCTGTGCAGGGCTGAGTTGTGAGCGGAAAGCTTTGGGCAGGTACACGCAACTTTCTGACTCCAAATCCAAGGACCTAAGTGGAAGCTATTGACGCTCCTTATTGGTGGTACAGCGTATGTTGTACTGGACTTACCAAGATCAACCCATGTTGAACTGTGGATTCTCGGGATGGCGTCCTTGGGGATGCTGCTTTGAATGATGTGAACTGTAGACTCGTAGACATGATCCTTACTTGTAGCCTGCACCGATGGCGCCCAAAGGCGGCAATTGTCCTCCTGGGCTTCGAATCGGCGACACCGGGGTACGCGGTGATCCGCCGGCCTGTAACATTCAGGGCGAGCACTTCCTGCAATTGAGAGGACCTGCAAAGAGATGACTGCGATTGCAGGTTTCAACGCAAGCTTTTCAATGCGTTGGATGCATCCTGTTGACCTGGCCCCAGCTCTGAGAAGATGATTGCTCCAGGCTAGATTGCTTCATGTCAAGGAATCGGAAGATTCTCCGGGGCACTTGCCGCGTCGCGCTTTGCGCGTTTACAGCTTGGTTAGACAGGAAAAGTCAGCTACGACCCAGGCATCACCAGCCATCGAAGAGGCCCTGGCAAAGAGATGATGTCGCAGAGATTTTTACCCTGAGACTCTTTTCCCTTCATTGGATACCTCGTTGGACACGTTCCCGCTGCGCAACATCGCTGGAACCTCATACAATCAACGCATGTGCACACCATGGGCTTGATGGCTTGATGCAACAACCACAGGATCCAAACATCACGCCTTCTCCCGCTCTGGCTCATCTTTTGCAGGAAGCTGGACCTGGTCAGCATTCTGGCGGGAACTCTTCGCGCACTCAACAACGCGAGCAAACGCTGACATGTGGGGCTGTCCTGCTGACGGCCAGGACCTGTCGAATGCTTTCATGTCATCATGTGCGGTATATCCGCGAAGATCGCCTATGAGAAGATCCAATGGTTAAAGCAGCCAGGCCGACCAAGCATGCCCCGGATTGATTTGCCAGCATCCAGATGCTTCCTCGGCTGACATGCCATGTTCATCATTAGGGTTGGCTTCTCAACCTGCCAAGTCACAAGGTCTGCGCGGATCCCTGGAGCAAATGCCCGTAATCCTGCGCTGAAATAATTGAGCAACTTGCCACGCAACTTCCAGTCTATCCACTCAGCTCCTGGACCCTGACGGGGGCGCGCGGTGGGGCTTCCAGCTGAATCCTTCCCCATCGGCCTGACATTCTTGCAAAGTCAAACGAACCTGTGCCTGGGGTTGTAAAGCACGACAGGCTTGCCACGGTTGAAGTCATTGATCATCTTGCCCAGAAATGGGTCAGGATTCATGACCTTCATGAGCAAGCAACGAGCATTCACAGCAGTCCGCTCCGTGAAGGACTGGATGGCTAGTAGGCTAGCAAGTTGACGCCACATATTGGCTGCTGTCAGCAACCATGGAAGGCTTAGCTTACAAATGTAGTAAGCCAATGCAAGCAAGCTCACGATAATTGGTTGGATATATGCGAGCAGTGCAGTTGAAAAAAAAAATGGCAGCCGATTGGCACGCGCCCAGAACTCAAAACGTTTCTAGCTCTGCATGCTCAACCCACCTAGCTTCAACGGGCACATGTGAGCTGGAAGTTTAACCTGTTGGCTGAAGAGAGGCCGCTAGCAGCTCGGAAGTATCTAATTACTGTACCTTAGAATACGGGCTGAGGCCCAGGCGGGCACAAATTTGGGAAGGAGCGGTCCTTCGTGCCTGTCAGCGCTCAAGACAAACTGGAGGTCTGGCTGCAGCTTCTAACACAGGAATGGGTAAGTGCCACTGTCCGCAGCCTGATGGCTTTCTGGAGATCGACGCCATAGATGCGTTGAGTTTCACTCCAGACCTTGTTAAAGACACGCGTCTACTTCTCTCGCAGCCACCCCAACAAACTGTTTTTTCTCTTTGCATCGAAGTTGCAGTCTTCTCGATCATGTGAGGATTCTCTTTCCACAACTGGCATGAGAGCACTTGAAAGCGGAACCTATGGTGTACCGCTGCTAGGTCCTTGCCAAGGCGGGTGACCAGGTCGTAGCCAGTCTGCTGTCGGTCGACGTGCTGGCAGCTTTGTGAGATTTCGGTGCTGACACCTGACTGTGCTGCGTGGAATTCTGCTTGCCTTCTCGCCGAATACGCGGCACATGCACAGCAGCTCCTGCTGCTCCTGGCAATGCGACAACGGACTCCAAAGCCATGTTTAGCGCAGCAACTATGCCGGAGAGTATCTGAGAGGTAAGCTGCTAGGGGCACCTTTGTAAAGCGTCTGCCAAAGCCTACAGGAATAAATCCGGGAGCATCCAGGAACTCCAGCTCAGTGTTCCTGCAAGGCATGCAAACATGCCGTAATTCAAACTTAACATGTCACCAACATCATGTCCTGAAGCCGCCAATCTTGTGCCATGTCAATCTCTTGGTTAGGCCAGGCTTTCCCATCTGGCAGTGTGGAGCTTTTCCGGGCACCATTTGCGATGTGATGCTAAGACGGAGCCGGGCATACCCGGTCAGCCACTTTGCGGCCTGTAAGGCGGTTGATGATAGAGGACTTCCCAACCTCGCCAATGCGCGCAGTCGCAGAGCAGCTATCCATCGTGAGTTGAAATCATCTGCTAAGGCTCTTGCATTCGGGAAGCCAATCCTTACGCACAGGTCGGCACATGTCTACATGGCAGCGTTCAGATGTAGTTCCTCTTCTTGGGTTGAGGCATCATGGTGCGAATCGCTCTTGGATTGATGCCCTTGCGCTTCCGCCTGCTGGCCATTGCTTGAGCTTCGCTCTTGCACCACAGTCAAGTCGAGCATCTGTCCTTCTGTTCACATAGGCACCAGCTTTCAGCAGTTCCGTTCGAAGCTCCTCACAGACTGCAAGCTGCCAGGCAGATAATGCCCTTCAAGATGGAGGTTGCAGCTGCGCCTCAATCCCAAACGTGCCCATCAAGGCATCGACAGGGACTACTGGTACTCCACGGTCTCGGTCAGTCTCATTGATGTACCGGATCGTCTCCTGGCACAAACAGCACGAATCAGAGCGGACCGGTAGCAATCTGCGCACGTGTTCGCGCTGCGGGTGTCCTCGAGTGCTGCGCGGGGAACCAGATCCGCCTTGGTCAGGACAATGACCCGCGGACGTGGCCGTGCCCATCCTGTGCTGCTTTGCACACAGGCGTAACTAATCACGTAGCATCACGTAGCGACACAAATAAAACTCTGCTCCTGGAACATCGGGGTGAGTTGTTGTCCAAGGAATCCTAGCATCGCGAACCTGTGGGCATCCAGACTCCAAATGACGCCGATGCATCCTCTGTCGCGTCCCCTGCCTCGATAACGACATCAACACGCTTCATGTGCTGCAGCTGCATGTCTCGAATCGCCTCGATGAGGGCAGACAGAGCTTCTGAAAGTACTTGCAATTTCAACGATCAAAGGTTGCTAGGAGGATGCCTAGCACAGGGACCCTAAGTCATCCCACTACGCTATCCACCTGACGCATACTCCTCATAAATCCCCCTTTACGTCTAGGTGGTCCCCATGCTACGCTCCAACAATCTACAAGGGCTCCATTAAATTAAAGGTCGGAAGAAATCGCAAGCTGCTGGCCGTTGTTTGGTAGCCCGGACGCCAATCGATCGGAATGTCTTTGCTGGCAGCACCTTGCACCACTGGTCTGCCACACTCTACCCCAGCTGGCAGAAGCTCAACGTCGCAACAGCTGGGTCTCCGTTCTTAGCCGCAAATACCGCTGATCACTGGCGGCCTGGATCAGAGCGGCTGAAACACATAGATCAAATTCAGCGACGCGACACGCCTCTAAGATCTCCTCAGCGCTCATGGAGGCCAGCTTCTTCCAGGAGTTTTTCTCCACCTTTCAGGGAGTGCCCACTCAAGGTAAACAGCACGCAAAGCCTCAGCAGCAGCGGCAGCGACAATATGCGTGCGACCACCGTGATGAAGGGGACCAGTAGATGGCAGTAAAGGAGAAGAGTAGCAGAAGCACAGACCATAAATCGCCGTGGTGTTTTGCACATGTTCCAAGGTGCTGCAAGTGTTTACATGAAAGGTGGGGGCGGATGGGGGTATATTGGCGTGCATGCCCGAGAGCTTATGCTGACCAGCGCATCCATGCCCAAAAAATACTGGCCTCCATTCCCGAGAGATCCCGAGAGCATACGCTGACCAGCGTTTCCATGCCCAAACCAACAATAACAGCGGAAGAAATTTTCCTCTAGCCGCGGCTGTAGGCGGTTTTCTTGGCCATGACTGAGAGAACTTCAAAAATTTCAGTGAACAGCCATGGCAAGCAAAGGCAAAACAATGCCGGGGTGGGGTGGGGGGGGAGGCAGAAGCTTTTTTACCCCAGCCACGGATTTGATGCAGACTCCTTGTAATAGGAGCCAATAGCAATTCTGGTGTTTCGTAAGAAATTCTGTAGAAGTTGATGTATTTCTGGATAGCCTTGTGCTGTGATTGTACTTGGTGGGGGCACTGCCTCCTGTGGTAAAAGGGGACGAGGATGCGAACATGTAGTTAGCAATCTGCCAACCCCGGCCTCACAAGGCGAGCGCACGGTGAAGCCTAAGCCTCGCACCCGTTCCCGTGCATTCCCCCTCCACCCCCTCTACCCTGTCAAATGGCCGGCCCTCAAATGGCTGGGCCCTGTGCTTTTTGCACTACCTCATTGCCGACCTATCCGCAAAGCCCCCAGACCCCACCCCGAAACACGAGAAAAACTGTTTTTTACGGGCTTGATACTGTTGAAGCATTTCCACCCCCGGTGTTTTTGGGAGGTTGCCCCTGGCTTCTGCTGAGCAGCCCTAGCTTGCGCCCTCCAAAGGCCCCCCATCCATAGGTTGCCCATCAACCCCCCCGACTCACGGATTCAGTTGCCTCGAGCTCGCACTTACGGGAATGCTCCTGCAAGTCTCCATCTTTTGCCGCCGCCCTGACTCCCTCATGCCGGAGTCGGCGGCAGCGGCGCCATATTGGGCAACGCCCTGAGGTTGCTGCTGCAGGCCATGGCCCTGCCTTTTGCCATGGAGCAGATATTAATGCCGCCGACCCTGCATCAACGAACCTCTGTTTCTGCAAGGGGCCCTCCTGGAACCCATTCTCGAACCCACGCCCAAACCAAGCTCAAATTTACATGCGTTCCGGAAGCAAGTCCCCACGGCACGGCGGGATTCTTGAGGGATTTTGGAGGTCTTTTGGGACCCCCCAAAAAGCATCATGAGCGACCTTGGCTTTTTTTGATAGGTTTAGGACACAATAAAAAGGTCGCCCCAGGCCCTTGAAAGTAACCTTGGAACTTGGAGGTAAGACGGTACAGCCACGTTTTTTTTAAGACAGACACGACTCGGAACCATGAAGCCTTGGACTTTGAGTTCCGACAATCTGAGCCCTAAAACCTGAAACCCCACACCCTACAGATTTGAGCTCGAGACAACTTCAAACCCCCATGTATCTGTCAGAGCCAGATGAGGCGCCCTGAGGGCTCTTGAGCTCAAAACCTGGAGCTTCTTAGGGCACCCGCTCCAAATCCAGCGTACCTCCGCGGCGAACACCCTACAACCACCGCCCAGCAACGCCACCAATAACCAACGGGGGCAGGCAGCGCCACTGACCTTCTCAGATTGCAACTCTCCTGACCACGGCCCAGCACTTCCCACAAGCGCGCTGATCAACTGTCATCCCTTCTCTGCGCTGTATTTTGAGCTGTCAGTAGTTGGACTATGCGGTTGCGGCTTGGTGTTTTAGTCCCCCTTAAGTAGCTAGAATATGGCTTTGGGGATATTACAATAAGATCCCCATATACCCCATATAGTATCTACTTAAAGGGGACTATGAAGAGGCACTCTTGCGAAGATATCTTCCCAGCAAAGCACGGAACGAAGGGTATCTAATTTGTGGTGTTTCTGCTTCGGTACTTGAGGAATGTACAAAGAGCTCATCATCCGTACCTTCGCGGCTTGGCTGAGGCTACCTCTTCCCATGTTCTGGCTGATGGAGCTTTTCGAAAAAAACGGGTGGACACTCTTGGGATGGCCCTCACACGTTTCAAGGACCACGCATTTGGCGGCCGTTTCAACAAAAAAATGTGTATGGTTTTAGAACCACGGCC